ACAACTCATATACAGTCTGTGTTCGCGGAACATATTGATGACACACATAAGAACAGAAACATCTTCAGCAAAATGAACAGAAGGATGCTAGGACCTGGATCTCAGGATGCAAGAGCAACTCATTATAGACCTCTGTAATTATGGGGCAAGTGCTGAAAACAAAGAAACTTGTACGCATGCGACATAGATTACGCTAAAAGCAATTCGACACCCGGCCCCATTCTTGGCTCTTCAATGTTTGGATGTATACAAGGTCACACCGCTTTATCCAAAACTTCCTGAAACTGCGATGAGTCGATTGGAATACAAAACTGTATCTCTCTAAATGGAAACAATCCGTCCACACAGATACTATCACAATCCGCCGAGGGATTTTCCAGGGTGACTCTTTAAGCCCTTTATTGTTCTGTTTAGCCCTTGAATCCCCTCTCTACTCTACTTAATTCATCTAATTATGGAATCGCTCTTAAAAAGGGGAACTCAACTCTTCTTCGTGTCTCACTCTCCTATACATGGATGACCTGAAGCTCTATGCAGACACCTGAGAAGTCATATGCGGCAACTAATAATAAACGTGACGGAGAAGTTCACTGACGACATTAAGATGAAATTCGTTTGGATAAGTGCAGGAGAGTGAATATCATTCGGGGTCATATGCAAGTTATAAAATTTGGAAACTGATAATGAACCAAAGATTACCTTCATGGAACCCCATGAAAACGTACAAATACTGGGTTTCCAACAGTCACTCCGAATCCAAACACACTGTACTAAGATATTACCTAACAAATAAGGTGTGTAAACGATTGCATGGCTCCTTAAAACTCAACTCTCTGCTAGAAAACCTTGTGCAGGCCATCAATATTCATATTGCTTATTTCCAGTGCTGACATACTCCTTTGGCGTTATTAAATGGAGCAATACCGACCTCGGACAACATTCAGAGAACAATTCGAACCGCTATGACTCAACACCGAAAACATCATCCCCATTCAAGTACTGAGCGTTTTACCCTTCCAAGGTCGCAAGGAGGGCAGTATTGTAGATCTCATAAATCTACACAGCTCTCAAATTGCTTCACTCAGAGATACTTCTTGGAACATTGTGGAGAGTTCAGCAAGCAGTGAGCGCAGTTGACACATACTATAGTCCTCTGAACTTGAAAAAAGCTTATCCGCCTGTTCAACCAATCATTGAAACGGGCAAGAAGAAGATAACCTTATGGAAAGCAAAGGCACTGCATGGAAGGTACCCTCACGAGCTGAGTAAACCAGAAGTCGACATATCTGCGTCGCACCAATGGCTCCAGCACGGGGATCTCTTTCCCGGAGACAGAAAGCCTTCATGATAGCTATCCAGGACCCAAGTGGTACAACATTGAACACAGAAAACACATTCTGAGAGATTCTACCATTCATTCCGACTCGTGTAGAAGATTGTGAGGCTGCAAGCGAAACTATCCAAACACGTGACAAGTGGATGTAGCAGCCACGCACAGTGGAATACAAAAAAGAGCATGATGAAGTGGCGAAGCAAGGTACCACCAATTATGGCGTTGAAAACGGGCTTACTCGCCACTTCCGTGCCGTATTATAAAATATGTGCCTCAGAATGCTTGCTTGAAAGTTAGTGAGCACACACTCTACTGGATCGTTCCATTATCACTGACAGACATGTCGGCCGGCAATAGACCAGATATAACGTACATTGATAGAAAACAACAGCAGGTTTGCCTTATCGATATATCAATACCAATACCCACAACATATCGGGAAAATATCAAGAGAAGATCCAGAAGTATACCAATCTCGCCTTATGAAGTCGCAACTCAGTGGAACTTCAGTAAAGTGGACGACTGTGCCTATAATAATATCAGCTACGGAGTGATCCCGAAAATACACTTCGGCACTGGAGTGTCTTCACTTCGATACCAGAATGTATATAATATGCAAAAAGACAGTAATTTTGAATACATGCCGTATTTCAGAAGCCATCTGAACACTTCAGTAAGCAACCACCACACCTGGTCATCATACCTGTGTGTGGTTGACATACCGACCAGTAGATACTGTGAATAATGTAAGACCAATAATAATAATAATAATCCCAATCCCTAAAAGACACTTCGCGGCACCTGGAGTGTCTTCACTTGGATGCAGGCATGATTATAATATGCAAAAGTGTGTAATTTTGAATTACATTGCCGTTATTGTCAGAAGCCAATCTGAACCCTTCAGTAAATTAACCACACAACCTGGTCATCATTCTGTGTGTGTTGACATACGACCAGTAGATACTGTGAATAATGTATAATAATAATAATAATAATAATAATAATAATAATAATAATAATAATAATAATAATAATAAACCTACTATGAGCTCGTTCGATTTTCCCCACAATTAAATTTAAAAAAAACAGCAAATTCTTATATTTAAAATTACACGATTTTCCACAGATTCATTCTTAGGGGGCAAGCGCGGCTATGAATCTTTCCTTTATTTAAAAGAACAAAAAATAGGTAAGTTAATACTTGAATTCTAAAGTCCATTTATGTAGATCCTTGAGGGGCAGTTGAGGGCTAAATAGCCAAGCTTCCAAGTCAGCAAACATGTCACCGTGGGATCAGCTGAATGGTCGCTCCCAGGCCGCGGGGTCGAAGAGTCTTCGCAGGCGCAGGTAGGCCGGGCAACGCCCCCAGGCAATGCTAACCTGGTATTGAGGACAATAAGCGGCGGTCATTGCGCTTCCCTGAGTCGCTTTCGCGTGATGAAGTCAAGCACTGGGAGTAGATTTTGTTGCTAGCAGTGATTGTAATTCATAAATCCGAACGGAATGCGACGGAATGCGTGGGAACTACGACGAATTTAGTAAATTATTGCTCTTTTTTACTAAATTAAGGCCAAGCACTGCATATAAATTTATCTGGACTGGGAACACCGCGGTTCAACAAAATGTCTAAGTTCGAAATCAGAAATAATTTCAAGGGACTGCGCGCTGGGGGTCGGTGGAAGACCTCTCTCTCTCTCTCTCTCTCTCTCTCTCTCTCTCTCTCTGCTCGTCTGAATCATTTTGTTTGTGTCCGTTCGCGCATGCATCCACGAAAGCCTCTACCCCCTCGGAATCCCAAAGTTCTGAGAAGTTCTTCTAATTTTACGAATCTAGTTGGCGATAGGTTGAAACTAAGTGCGCAGTAAGAATTTTTTAATCCAATCGCTGAAGGATGAAGGGAATTCGGATGGAAAATTTCCTGGATTCTCTATCTCTTGTTCCTTCGTCTCGCACCGTGTTTACAAAAAATGTGCGGGTCTTTCTGCGTAGGCCCGGGCGTACATAATTCTCGCTAATGGCTACTGGGTGACGTCGCAGAGGCTCGAGGGTGATGGCTACGTCGTTTCTAAAAGGGTGTTTCGTAAAAGATAAATAAACAGAACAGTGGCCGATCCCGAAGTAGGCCGCGGAGGGCTGGAGGTTCTCCTACACAAAGGAAGGGTCGCAGCTGCGCGTAGCAAATCAGGAGGGGGATCTCGTGCGGGCCCAAGGGTACCAGCGCCGCAGGGAGGCGCCTGAGAGAGAGAGAGAGAGAGAGAGAGAGAGAGAGAGAGAGAGAGAGAGAGTTTCTTGTGGCAGGCAACTATTGGAAAACTATTGAAATTAATATTTTTAATATAATGTATTCGGTAACGCCATACTATACTAAACGTGAAACATGAAAAGAAAAAAATGACATTTTCATTAAAATCCTCCCTTACACATCAGCTAGTCCTTATTTTTCAAATTTAGTGTCTGGAGTGTACTTTCGTTCAATAGTACAGGAGCAACTTGCAGGATCCGTCTTAACCCTGCCGCGCGCCTTCTTAACACTGCCAGCACAAAACAATGTAGACATTTTTCTTGAATCTTATAGTACACCGACATTTCTTTTATTTCCTCAAATGTATTCATTATATTATTATGATTATTATTATTATTATTATTATTATTATTATTATTATTATTATTCGGTGTACATTTATCTAAGAACTTGGCTTTGCATTATTGTAGGTCTCAATGCATTCAGAAGAATACTGAGACTGCATCATGGTCTTGACGATGTTATCTATGATACCTGCCAGCGAATTGTGTGCGGAAAACATTCAGATTGTTTCGTTTCGCAGCACTGAGAGGTTGACGAGCGGATGCCAGAGCATTATCTCCGAATGTATCAAATGCCAATGCTACTGAAATAAATACAAAATTTTTCTAACATTAAGAGAATCGGCTAATTGAGGGGATTAGTTTCAAAACGCGATTTTCCACCTTTGGTGAAAAATGAGATATTGTTTTCAATCGGGGGTCCGTTCCGAAAATAAACTTTAGATACGGGATCGAGTCCCGCCGTGTGGATGTTATTTGCTCCTTACTTTTCATGTATTGTCGCGGAACGCTTTGTGTGTTGTCGCGGAACGCTTTGTGAGTCTGCTGATCACAGGCCGAGGAGGGGCCTGCCGGTTTGTCTAGTGTAAAGGTTAATTTGTGTCCCCGTTAGGGACATAGTAGGTACGCGCTGCGGATAGCTGAATTCGACATCCCCTGAAAGTTGGAAAAAGCCCCAGAAAAAAAATTGAGAAAGGCTAATAAGCAATGTTACATATTAAACTGTAATGTTACCTTTTTCAGGACACACAATATTCCTGTGGTACGTTGAACTGTGAAGATATAATATTATTATACAAATATGGAAGTGTCATTCAACAATTCATCCTTAGTTATATTTTCATACATCATAATACGTTTTACTAATTGACACACAAATCTTGATACATTGAAATTGAAGTAACTGTAAATCGAGATTTTGTAGATCATTAAACAAACTATAATGAAAAAATCTAAACGTAATATTGCTTTTCTTGGTACTTTTCTATGTCATATCATGAAATCAATATTGTTGTGAAGTAATTTCTTATTACCTTTTCAATGTTTTGAAACACACCATTTTCATGATTATCTTTCTTTCCAGGTTCCAACTACGTACATTTTTAAAAATGAGTTCTCGAAAGTATTATCCAACGCAGGTAAGTTACAAATTAGTTTGTTACAAAAACGTTTGGACATTTTTATCATATATCACGCCAATTTAAAGTATAAAAGTATTAATAAATTACTCAAACAAAATTATAAGTTTTCCAGTCCCCGTACTCTCCACACTATTATTTTTCATCTATGTTTTTTCCAACTTAGTTGCTTAATAATTATATTATGTTAACCTTTAGTTAAAACTCATTCCGTCTGGATTATGTGAAGAAATATTAATGAAAAAATAAATAAGTGGTGCTGTAGGTAGCACAAACTTTCTCTTACTAATTAGACCCTTAGGTCTGGATTAGCTTTCGGATTTTACCCACCTTCCTCCCAGCTGCAAACTATTTGCGCAGAGAAGACCTTTTTTAAAAACATTTTCTCAATTTCTAGGTCTCCTGATAGTAGAATTGAAATACGACTTTAATTGTAAAAGCTGGTCCTACATGCAACTTTTCATTGAAAAATTTAGATCCAATGTTGTAAATATGTCGTTTGACATATCTGCAAATGTGCAATTCTGAGCTGACTTAATTATTAACAATGTGAGAGATATTCCAGAAAAAAATTGGATAATTTTTGAAAACTTAAAAGAATACCTGAATAAAAATAGAGTTTATGTCATGCTATTTCTGTATTTAGCATTGGCCTTACAAGAAGGTTAAAAAAATTTTGTACGTTTTTTAGAAAAACTTGTTTGTGTTTCTTTAAAGATTACGTGAAAATAGCTAACATAAAGAAGTATATGACATTAATTAATGAAGTAATGGTGGAAAACAAATTTCAAGAAAAAGTTTTTTAGCTCCATTAATTTAGTTGTACGGCAACATCCGAAATTTTTGCAATTTTTGCAATTTTCGACAATTCAGAATGAAAATCGGACCCATTCCACCTTTATATACGCATTTCACATTATTCTTACAGGAAATTTAAAGAAAATTTGGAGTCTTTTTGACAAAAAATTGATAAACGTCGCAGGTTTTCATACAAGTAATTCCCAAATTTAAAGAAATCCTTTCAAAATCGAAGGGATTCGAGTCGAGCCAGACCGACCGGAGAATATTCACTTTGACAAAAATCCTACAAATAGCTAAGGCATTAGTGTGTTTACAGACGGACAGACGTTTTGGAAATAAAAAAAGGAAAAAAAAAAACACCCTTTTCGGAATCGATGACCCCATGTGTTTCCGTTGAAATCTCGAAATCGATTTGCTGCAGCATTGCTTAATTTTCTCTATGCTACACATGTTACTCCGTATGTACGTACGTATACGAGAGAGTAAAATTACTAATTCATTTGCAGTTAGATATTCCAAATGAGTACAGTATTAGAGAGGATGATTCGAACCCAACAGAAAATTCACTCGTATGCACCTACCTTCAGAAGGGAAATATAGCCGATTGTCCCAGGTTGCAGACTTGGGACATTAAATGAATCTCAAGTCAAAATGGCGCTTCTGGGACCAAAAACAATCTGTATTTCGCCCTAGTAATGAGGATCGTTCGCTTCTAGATGACAGGGCCTGATACTTGTCGCGTGGTCTGTACGAGTAGTACTGTGAAAGTTGAAGTCAAATTCAAACATGAAAAAGAAATCATTATATTACGCTGAAAACTCAAATCGGAACCACTAAGTAGGTTTTGTATCAATGTTCCCCATCTCGTCCAATTTCCCATTATCTGTTTAGCCTGTCAACGGCTAAGGTAATTAGTCCCGTAAGTGCAGTGCATGTTTTTTTTAAATCGGGAGATGGCGTTGATCTTCCCCGCTGGATGGTGAGATGCGGCACCGTGCTGCCTGTCGGCTATAGGGGATTTCCTCAACCTAGTATCTCCCTCCAGCGGAGCACTGCTCCAGCGGGGTCAGGCTCTAAGCTCCCGACCGGTCTCCTGGCATGTAGAGTAGCCCCTCATTTGTGATATTCAGTTTTTTGAAGATAGATACATAAATACATGTGAAAGAAAACACGGCTTCAGCTTGGCACCAACAAAAGCAATGCTGAATTCTCTTCCAGTGCCGTGCCACAGTGCTGCCGGCAGACCCTTTCGATGCCACCGCTGATGCCGAGACTCTGCGAGCAGCCATGAAGGGCTTCGGCACGGACGAACAGGTCATCATCGACATCTTGGCCAAACGAGGGGTCGTCCAAAGACTCGAAATCGCCGAAACATTCAAAACCCTGTACGGAAAAGTAAGTGGCTACATGTAAACCCACAATGTTTAATATAATAGTCACAAATCTTAGTTCATAAGTGATCTTCGTGACAATTCCAGGAGGTTTCAGTACTTTCAAGTTTAATAATAGTAAATATCCATTATGTTTTATTGTCAATAACTTATACATTAGACTTCATGATATAAATATTTATACGATTTTCATGTCAATATGCGAAAAAGGTAAATAATGGTAATTTTTCTATTGCACCCAGGAATTGGTCAAAGAACTTAAGGGTGAATTGACAGGACACTTCGAAGAAGCAATAGTGTCATTGATGACCTCTCTGCCAGAACTTTACGCCAAAGAATTACACGATGCCATTAGCGGCATCGGTACCGATGAGGAGGCAATAGTGGAGATTCTCTGCACTCTGAGTAATTATGGAATCCGCACCGTTTCCCAAGTTTATCAGAATGGTAAGCTTTGGATTTTTAGTGAACCATTGTGCATTAAAACAATGTGATGTTATACTTTTCTTCTAATGCTTAATGTTCCAGAGTACGGAAACGCATTGGAAGATGATTTAAAAGGTGATACATCTGGTCACTTCAAGAGATTGCTGGTATCCCTCACAATGGTAAGAAATTTGTAGGGTTTAAGTGCTTTTGTTTGGTCTAAATTACATCGCTTGAAAACATGATTAACAATTCATTGCTGAGATATCTTCTGTTTTGATGCCTGATATATCATCCATTCACTATGAATGAATGCAGTAGTATGGAGATTAATTTGTCATTAACACACTCCAATTATAGGGCTAAAAACAACATTTCAGTTAGAAACTTTTAATATCTAAGGAAAATTGTACACCCTTGATAGATTTAACTTCTTCCCCTCATGTCTCTCAGCGTCCTTTCACATACTTCTTTTGGCCTTGTGCTCACCTAGTGTAGCTCCGTTCCTTTGGCATATATCTTGTATAATAATAATAATAATAATAATAATAATAATAATAATAATAATAATAATAATAATATTTATTGAGTCATATATATAATTACAAGCGTGTATGATGAGTCAATATGATGGGAGGCGAGAGTGAAGTTACATTACTGTACAGAAACGAAACAAAGCTTAAGCATTTGCTCAAGAGATCAGTGAAACTGAACAAAAACCTGAACAGATGGGGTCATTGGCCTAGGAATTATCCTACAATACTTGTTACAGATAGATTAGAATATTATACAATAGATAATTATATTTAGTAGTAAATAATTTAACATTTCAAGCTTTGTACACTTTCATGTTTAAAGTAAAACTAAAATTTAGTTGTTCTTGTCATTTTACTGCTACTTCTAATAATAATAATAATAATAATAATAATAATAATAATAATAATAATAATAATACCCCGTGTGGTGCCAGGGATTTTAGTAAAATAGCACCACGGGACCTCCCCCTGTCGTAGAAGGCGACTAATCGGAGCAGCAGTCCGCTGTCACTCCCCTAAATATCCCGTCATTCCCACAAACTCTGTGTGTCATTGCTCTCACTTACTTGTGGTACACATCTGTTTTCTGTCCTGTAGGTCAATATTTTATCGGCCAACTCTTGTGTTTCCGCCCCAACGCTATTAGGTTGCGAGGGCTAGGGAGTCGTTTCCATTCTACCCTTCTATTCTAACTCTAATCTTCTCTGTCCCCCCTTGTTCCTTCCGTTTCCTTAAGCTGGCGGTAGCTGAAAAACGCTAGGGGAAGGTGACCTTGAAGAAAAAACCCAAGATGGAGGATCTGTCAGGATCGACAGTTACGGTGCACGGGATCGGAGCCCCAGTACCGGCGGTCGGTGGTGCGCAAGCAGGCCATCGGGTGTCGTCACCCAGCGACTGCAATGCCGGGGGTGAGAATCACTAGGCACCGCTGGCAGATACTGCTACAAGTGATAGCAAGCTTCGCGGGACTCGTATGGAAGTCTTCGAACCTAGGGTTGAGGGATCCCTTAAAAACCCTCGTCCAGAAAAAAGCTCGGAGTTCAATGCAAAAAGATGGAGAAAATTGGAAAATCAATAAACAATGATGACCAGTTCAAGAACACAGCAGCGGTACTAAAGTACCTTACAGTAAAAAGAATTGAAGGGAATTTTGATAAAGTCAGCCCATTTCTAATAGAAAAGAGTATTAGCACCTGTGCTGGATCTGCCGGAAGACTTACACAAAACTCCATCTGGACTCTTGATAGAAACATTCAATGATAATCAAGCGATCAAGGCAAAAAGTTACTAGAACTGAAGAAAATAGGCACTATAGATGTTGAAGTAAGTGCTCACGGTACGCTGAATACCTGCAAGAGTGTTGTAGTTTGTAGTGACTTACTAAACTGCAGTGAAGAGGAAATAGTTCAAAAACTAGCTTCTCAAGGAGTCATTGCCTGTCGTAGGCTAACAGTAAGGTGGGATGGGCAGATATTTCCTTCAGCGTCCCATGTCCTGACGTTCAAACGTTGTACGTTACCAGAAAATATTAAAGCAGGCATTCATCGTCTAACCGTACGAATGTTCATTCCTCAACCAATGCAGTGTTTCCAATGTTTACGATTTGGACACCCACCATCTAGATGTGCGAGAATCAAAGTATGTCATTGTGGTAAGCCATTTCATTATGATAATTCATACATAGATCCTATCAAATGCATTAATTGCAGTGGACAACATTCATCAAGGCCAAGAGACTGTCCAATATATAAGCAGGAGGCAAAAATACAACAAGTAAAAGCCAAACAAAAGATCAGCTATCCTGAAACAAAAAAAACTTGTGTCCTGAAAATAAAGGAAATATTACATACGTGGAAGCTGTTACTACGAGGGTTGCCTTTTATATTTCAGGATTAGAGAACAAAAAAATATTAATAATCGAAATTCACTTTATTGTTTTTCAAAATATTCCCCATCAAGATCTATACACTTTTGCATGCGTTTGAACCAATTGTCGAAGCACTTTTGCCATTCTGATTGAGGTATCTCCAAAACATGCATTCTGAATGCAGTAACCGCCTCTTCAGGTGTCGAAAAACGTTGATCTCTCAGTTTGTTTTTTACGTACGGGAATAAAAAGAAGTCATTCGGTGCCAAGTCAAAACTATACGGTGGATGACTCATCAAATCGATGTTTTGGGTGCTCAAAAATGCAGTTGTTTGAGCCGATGTGTGAGAGCTCGGATTGTCGTGGTGAAGAGTGATCCGTCTTCGGCGGTTGGTTTTCCTGATTTCTTGGAAGACAGCTGGCAAACAAATCGTTGTGTACCACTCAGAATTGACTGTTCTGCGTTGCTAAGGTTGCGACATGTTCAGTGTTTCCGAAAAAACAAGCGACCATCTGTTTGGAGGTGCTTCGTGCGCGAACAACTTTTGTTGGATTTTGCTCACCTTGAAACACCCATACAGTCGTCTGCTGTTTACTTTCGGGCTCATACGCGTAAATCAACGATTCATCGCCTGTCACGATGTCATAGACGTGTTTCGAAGCACCGCGATCGTATTTTTTTTAGCATTTCTTTCGACCAATCGACACGAGCCTTTTTTTGAGCGATTGACAAATTGTGGGATTCAACGCGAACAAATTTTTTTGATAGTCAAATGTTCATGCAATATTGAATGTATGCTGGTCCCACAAATGCCTAATGTTGTCTCAATCTCACGATAGGTCACATGACGATCTTGCAATATCAGTTCACGCACAGCATCTATGGTTTTCGGAACAACAACTGATTTTGGACGACCTTCGCGAAATTCGTCTTGGAGTGAACTACGACCACGATTGAATTCACCATACCATCGATAAACACTGGTCCTTGATGGAGCTTCATCGCCAAAAATTGAATTAAGTTCATCCATGCACTGTTGCTGAGTTAATCCACGTCAAAAGTTGTAAAAAATAATCGCACGAAAATGTTCACGATTTATTTCCATTTTTGGGCCAAGATGAATCTTTTAAGTTACTGTAAACAACACAAATAGAGCTCGTATGTCAAAACGTACTGAGTACGTATAACCTCAAAACATCCAACTTTACGACAGAGCTGTCAGTTGCCAGATTGCAACACCAGGGTTGCCAAATCCCGAAACATTAAAGGCAACCTTCGTAAAAACACAAAGTTGCCTTCTTTAGTAGTGAAAGAACTAATGCCTGCAATAAATCGGTGCATAGATAAGTATTTCAATGAAATTCACAACAACAAAATCAACACAGAAGACAATCACAAACAGTCAAAGTGAAATAATAAATGAAAAACAATCTTCAAGACCCCTACCAAATGAGACAGAAAGAAATCCAGTAGCTGCGCTGGCAGCCACACCCAGCCAAGAAGTATCAGCAACAGGCTATTGAAGTCGATCGCCTTGTTCTCCTAAGCACACCAAAGACAACTTCCTCAAACAAAAAATGAAATCATCAATTACGTACCAATGATCAAGACACGACCACTGGCTCTAAGACAACTTCGATGGTAAGTGCGGAAAATAATGATTACCAGTCCATCGATCTAAGCAAAACCCCGCATGAGATGAAAAAGAAGAAAGGATGGCCAAAAGGAAAACCAAGAAAATAAGCAGATCTACTCATCATATAGCAAAAGAATTCCATTCCAAACATGGAAAATATTATTCAGTGGAACATTAACGGCTTTATCTCGCATTGTTGTGAGCTGAAATTGCTACTGGCCAATCACCCTCCAATGTGTGTGTGCCTACATGAAACCCCTTTTAAACCAGAAGACCGTGTCAATTTTAAAGGTTATAAAGCCTTTTACTGTGACGTAGAATCTGATAGACGAGCTAGAGGTGGTGTTGCCATATTGATCAGCAATACACATCCTGCTATTCGTCTCGATCTCAACACACCTCTACATGCAGTAGGTGTAACCTTATAAAAGCCATTGAAGATGACTGTATCTGCATATACTTACCCGATGCCTCATAGCGAAATGAAGATCTACAAGACCTGATCGATCAACTACAGCCTCCATTTCTAATTCCAGGCGACTTCAGTGCTCACAGTACCACATGGGGCTGTTCTAGAAGAAATGAATCCGGTCGCAGAACCGATGACCTGCTACTTAACAATGAATAAGTACTTTTAAACACAGGAGCAAGCACTCATTTTAACGGTAGAAATGGCTCATTCTCGGCCATAGATCTCTCAATATGGAGTCCAAATCTTGCAACACGGCTGACATGGAAACCACTGCCAGATCTTCATCAGGGTGATCACTTTCCTCTGTTGATATCATCAAACATGCCAAAGAACACAGTACATTTACCGAAACGTTGGTGTATCAACCGTGCAGACTGGTCCAGCTTCATCAGACATATACCACCAATAAATGTCAGTGAAAGACGTTACTTATAAGTATTTCACCAACACTGTAATATCTTCTGCTGTAAAATACATTCCACATATTCCACAGTGGCCGCTCATCTAGGATTCCAGTAGAATTCCATGGTGGAATACGGATACCAAAGAAGCAATAAGGGAGAAAAGAAAAGCCCTCAATAGATTTAGGCGTGCGCCAACCCAAGACAATCTTATAGCTTTCAAGCGTCTGCGTGCACTCCCTCGCAGAAAAATACTAACATCAAAACGATCAATCTGAGAAAAGTACGTAACAACCGACGCACGTAGGACGACCAAAGCCACGGAAATATGGCAGAAAATCTGGTCAACAGCTGGGGAAAATGTTTTCAATCCAACCACATGCATAGAACACGAAGGACAACTAATATGCAGCCCTGACAAAATATCCAACGCATTAACGACCCAATTCTTCAGAGCCATAACATAAACAGCTATCCTAAAGACTTTCTCGAGAAAAAAGAAAAAAGAAGAAGAAGTACTTGACAACCGATACAGATAAGCTATATAACGTTCTTTTCACATGGAGAGAATTGCAAGACGTCATAAATGCAGTTGGAGACACCACAGTAGGATCAGGCAATATCCCTTACAGCATACTACGTCGGTTACCGAAGGAAATACTGTCCACTTTGCTAAACATATACAATAACACTTGGACACAAAGTAATTACCCCAAAGTCTGGAAAGAAGCGATAATAATTCCACTTTTAAAGGCAGGCAAGGATCCATTGAAACCTGAAAATTATCGCCGGTTTTTCTGACATAGAAAAATCTTGGGAAAATGATCAACACTCGGCGAACATGGTGTCTCGAAAAAAACAACCTCCTGAACATTCATCAGTGCGAATACAGACAACATCTCTCTACAATCGACCAGCTAAGATATCTGGAAAACGCAATTCAGAATTCCTTCATCAAAAGAAAACATATGGTTACCGTATTCTTTGAACTGGAAAAAGCTTTCGATAAGACCTGGCGACATAACATTCTGAGACAGCTATATAACTGGCAAATAAGCGGATATCTACCAAAATTCATAACCCGCTTCCTTAGTACCAGATCTTTCAAAGTTCGCGTTGGGCAGTCTATCTCAGAAAGCTACGTACTAGAGAACGGTGTACCGCAAGGCTCTCCATTGAGTGGCACGCTCTTTATCATAGCGATTAACGGGATGTTTGACGGCATAGAAGCGTCAATAGGAAAATGCATGTATGTAGATGACATTGCTATATTTTACTCAGCCAAATCACCGGGAATGATCAATTTCAAAATGCAATCAATAAATTAGTACAGAACGCGAAAAACAATGGTTTCACATTTACAGCAGCCAAAATTAAATGCGTTCACTTCTGTAGGAAAAGAAAAAGTTACAGAGATCCAGAGCTGGCGCTGAATGGTGTTCAACTGGCATACAATAAAACGGCAAAATTCCTTGTTTTGATTTTTGATAGGCATTTAACATGGAAACAGCATCTAGAATATACCTTGCGTAGATGCAAAACAGCTCTGAACGTAATAAGATGCATTTCCCGTATAAATTGGGGAGCAGATAGAGACATTACAAGTCCGCCAGTACAAATCCATGGTCTACACACACATGCGCACGCACGCGTGCGATGATTTAGAGAAAGAGAGAGAGAGAGAGAGAGAAAGAGAGAGAGAGAAAGAGGGAGGGAGAGAGAGAGGGAAAGAGAGGGAGAGGGGAAGAGAGCGAGGGAGAGAGAAAGGGAAAGAGGGAGAGGGCCAGAGAGAGGGTGTGGGAGAGGGAAACTTGTTACTTGACCATGTTTTCCTCTCACCACTTAATGTTCATTTCCTCCTTTTCTTTGCCTATACACATAACCGTGCTCTTATTCTTCATACCCCTATCCCCCAGGGCATATTCCTACTCACTAGCAAGTTACCGAAAGGATGGAACTTAGATTTTAATGAACAAAACTAAAATTTAGGCACATGAGTTGATGTTATGAAGCTACAATTATTTTGTTGGACTGAAAATTATTAATGGTGTAATGTTTATGTTAGCTATTTCTAAAGCAGTTATCACATCACGAAGTTCCATTTTGCATAATTATATCTGCAATAATTTAATAATTATATTCAGACTTCTTACATCTTCTTTCTCTTTCTTACATTTCTTTAAAATATGCTTTAACTTTCTCATCCAAGTATTCATCTAAGAAAGATGTTCCTTGTTCAGGCAAACAGAGATGAAGAAGAGGACTCTGACCCACAAGCTTCAGCCAAGGCCGATGCCGAGGCTCTGTTGTCAGCAGGTACAATATCTACTATTCACACTTTAAAGCACAATAATGCACTGCAAAAATATATTGTTCAATAGAAGATATGTTTGTTATTTATTAATGACACAAGAGAAAGAGAATAAGATTAATGTTCGATAAAGGCTAAAAACAATTGCTATTAAGGACGTTTCTACATGACATAACAGAGAGGTGTATGAGAAAGAAACAAATAGATGTTGTATTTTACATTGTGTCAAATACATAAAAGTATGTCACCAGATTAACATTAATGATTAGGGTAAAGAATAAACTGGTACACAAAATTGCATATTATTGTTGTGTTATAAAAAATCTATCTAATTTACTTTCAAAATTAATTAGTTATTTGAATCATGTTGATATGAAAAAATATTTTTGGAAAGTAAGAAATTTAAGGTTAAATACATATTTTAATTACACTATTATCATGGAACAAGATTCCATACATGATGGAGGAATACATTCAATGAGCCTTTATAATTGGAAAAAAAATGCCTAATTTAATTTTTATAGTATTGCCTTGAGAGAATATTTCACTTTCAGAATAAAGGAATCACACATGAGTTTCACAAATCAGCAAATAGTAACAAAATATTATAAACCGCAAAATGGGATAATAACCTGATACAATTAATTCATTTTTATCCTCATTTAATTAATATTATTCACAAAAATGCAGTGAATACTCCAAAAATCCATTTGAATGCTAAATGAGCCTAGTTAGTTTTTTCCCAATAGGGTCAGAATAATTTAAAAGAAAATATTTTCATAATATAACATAAAGAACCAGAGAAATGTTTACATTTTTTTAAATAATAATTAAAAAAAATAATAAAATAATCTCCTTCTCTTACTTTTACTTGCTTACTTCTGTATTTTTTAATTAATTATTATCTTAAAAATGTATGAGTTGCAAAATCTAATACTTGACTTTCTTTCAGGTGAAATGTTATGGGGAACTGATGAATCAGCATTCAATGCTATTCTGGTTACAAAAAGTTACCAGCAACTAAAACATATTTTCCGAGAGTATAATAAACTTGCTGGTCATGATATTGAAGATGCTATTAAGAGAGAATTTTCTGGAAGTTTAGAGGGAGGCTACCTTGCCATAAGTAAATGAAAAAAAATATTTCTCTCTCTTTTTGGACTACATTTAATATTAAGAGGTATAGCTTCATATTAAGAAGTCAAATTAGTTCACACTTATAACATGTATTTCTAAATTTTCAGTTAAATCCGTTAAAAATAAAACACAGTATTTTGCCGAACGTTTGCATGATGCAATGGCTGGTATGGGTACAAAGGACAGGACCTTAATTAGAATTATCGTAGCTAGATCTGAGATTGATTTGGGCGATATTAAAGAAGAATATGAGAAAATTTATGAAAAACCGTTGGCCACTAGGATTGAGGTAAGCATTGATGAAATTTTGATGATTTTGATGATGTTGTGATTAAAAGAAAACAAAAAACATTTATTTAACTTTCATATTAATTATTCTATTTGCAGGAGGACTGTGCTGGGGACTACAAAAGACTGCTTATTGCTTTGTTAGGTTGAGCAAAAAATTTTTCCTTCACATTCCATGTGTAAGTTGTCTTTGAAAATGTAACCTGTTGCAGTGTTAGAATTTTTTTGGTACCGAAGGAGCAAGAAAAAATGCTTTATTTTTGTTATTTTCTTAAAGATTTGGATGTCAATAAAATATAATTACTTCTATTCAAGAAAAATGTAAATAAAAAATAAAATATTGGTAATTATGTATTTCCTGTGGCATGTTAGATTTTAATGAAACCTTGGTTGTGTGTTAAATTATTGGCATAAATTGCCAAAGTGTGAAAATTATAGAATCTCCACTAAACCTTTCATCTACACATTGTATTTTAATTTGGTTTGCAGTAATATCAAACCATGGTGAGGGAGAACCGGGGTTATTTCCATGAAAGAGAAAACATTTTGGGAGACTTCTTATATTTCTGTAAACAAACTAATGAGGAGTTGTGTGCTTAACCTCAAAACACAGTTACAATAAAAAGACGTTGAAAGTTTTCACAAGAGATTTTTTATATTTCCTTATTAGTAAGTAATCTTACATGCAGTCAGTTTATTTTGTTAATTTCATTAGGACGTGATGCAACCAGTAGATTCAATAAAAGTGAATTCCTAATTTAAATATAATAATTAGTCTTATTCTATTCATGTCTACATGTTTTTTCCATATTTTCATTTAAGGTGTTGTTCTGGAGATAAACTTTTAAATTCATTACATGATGTATATATTCAGGATAGACTTAGGTATCACAAATAAAAGTGAGGCATATTTTATGTAAGAAAATTATAGTAAATTGAATAGAAAAAATGAGTTATCAGAAAATATTTTTTCATCAACATTCATACTGGCAAACATGGATCACCAACTGTTGTCACTGCGGTCCTCTGACCGGGAGGTTCTATGGTGGCAGAAGTTCGACACTACCTTGGCAGGACAAATTAAGCCACTGTCTGGAGGAACTAGCAACTGGCTACTCGAATTGGTAGTTTTCTGTAATTTTTGCAATCAACACCACGTGAATGGCGGAGCAGTTCCCTAACAAATGGGCCATGAATGTGCATGATCTTTCCTTCCTCTTCTTTGTTCTTCTCTTTCCCCATACACACACTTACACTCGCATGTACTACACTATCATTAATTTAGGCCAGTGCCAGGTCTCACCAGCTAGGGGTTGGAAGTTCACTGCCACCACCACCTCCCATGATAAACACATGTACTACATTTATGGGACTAATGATCTTGGACGTTATCATGCTCAGAACCACTAATCAATCAATTCGTTATCAGTTGGCCCAATTACAGTAATTATCACTACATTATAAGCAAGACAGGACAAATCAAACCTCAAACTCTTGAATTAATGCAAGACTAACTGACTGAAGTAATGAATACAACTAGGTCAATGTATTGGCACAAGAGGAGTTCTTGCCAAACATTACAAGTACTTTAATGGACTGAGCATTATCTTGTTCATTGCATTCTCCTGTATTCTAGTATCATTTTAACTTCTAGTAAGTTATTCATATGCAGTATATGGAAATCTAAAGATCACTAGCCAAGAAATGGGAAATTGGCTTAAATCTGGGTTAAGCTGTACTACTATCTACCTCATTAATTTTAACTAATGTTGTGAAAGTACATCATTAAGGAGAGCCACATAGATGGCAGCAACATATCACTAGCAGCTCTCTTTGGTTCTAAATAAAGTTTGACTTTTAAATGCAGTTGGACATTATAGATTTTACTGGACATCATGCTACACTGTTTTCAAGAAATAAATCAACTTTTATTATTATATAGATTTTGTGTTTTTATTTTAAATAATATTTATCACCTTGGGACAATCCTTTCAAAGTAATTTTTGGGAAGCCTGCCCTCATGACCTTTCCTTGATATCCAACCACAAGGGGTATAAGAGAGATGCTCTGTCTCCATCATACCTTTACATATCAGCACATGTCGAACCAAAAGAAACAATCTCTTAGCTGTCCTGCCTTGCTTTCTAGCTTCAGAATGGATGCAAAATTAAATGAATGAATTTAACATTTACTAAAAGTAATTATTAAGAAGAATTAATTGTGATGACATATATTTTGAAGCTATATAAGGAGGAAGAAAGTAAGAAAAAATAGATGTAAATTGATAATTAAGGAAGGAGATTGTAGTTTTTCAATGTGTAAAATTAGACAATTTTGAAAGTTTCATTACCAAAGGGACATTACACTAAAGTATTTCTTTTAAATATCATTTGCGTCTTTAATATGCATATTTCCAGCAATTTGTATTCATTACTGCATTTGTGAGTGGAAGTGCTTCAAATTACTTTCTATAAAGTTTTGCAGAAACTGAAGTTTTCTGTGAAAAAGAACTTCAAATCTGCATTTACAGTAATGGTTATTTTAATAAAAACGGCTCTAGAGTTTTGAATGAAACTTTCCAAACAGGACGAGCACCACTATTTTAAATAATAGTGTGCAAAAACGCTTCAAAACTATCATAAACAATTAGTCTTTATCTGTAATTTCAGTGTGGGGGCATGACAACTTAGGTAAATATTTGTAGGTAAAAAAATAAAAAAAAACAGCCTTGATAACTGCAAATCTACCTTGGAAACAGGGCCACGTCCCAACTATATTAAAACCAATGGAAATAACTAAAAAGCACGGGGAAACTACAATAGCACAAATTGGTAACAGTTGTGTAATTTTATAATATTGCAACTTCTATTCTAGCAAGCCATCTACTTCACCAATCCCTTGTAAAACTCAAACATGGATGAAAACTACTAATGTACTTGGAAAACTTACCCAAAATGATTTATAGATCTAATTTTGTGGAATGGATTCATTAAGAAAGAAAAAAAATGAACTTTGTCGCAATACAACTCCACATTACACGTAATTTGGGCTAATATTTTCAAAAAAGGTGATCAAGAAATTTTAAGATGTCATTTTTACTAAGTTTCCTGGTACAATGTTATTATTATTAAATCTAAATGCAACCTAAATAAATTTAATAATATCAAATCCAATTATTTTATATTGACAATGACCTCATTGTTTCTAATTAGCTACATATTGTAATGTTTCGGAGATGTACTTTCTCCATCTTCCGATATTAATACATTCCTATTTACAGCTAATAAGCAGACGTGCCAGGCGGTAGTCTACATCGTCTCAGGATGGAGCCCAGCGAGGAAACCTTTCCCTTCCGACGGTTGCATTCTTGTCACCATGCTGCATGTAGTCCAAGGTTCCAGGGCAGAAACCGGACTGTGCAGGTTGATGAGGTCTCCAATAGTCATGATACAATTTCAATTAATATGAAACTTCCTAACAATAATATTCTTTACATTAAGCCACCTAGTGGACCATGTGGCAATGATGGAACTGTTGTGTAATTTATTAAAGTACAGATTGTCAAGGAATAATTCAATAGTTACAAAACAGTATGGTTGATGTGTAAAAAATGTGTGAAGCAGGGAGGAAACAAATCAAAACTATAGGGCTCTTGGGGAGGTTTTGCTCTTGTAGTATTATCGTACAGCCTCATATTTCTTTCATCTGCAACTTGGCATGTTGTTGGTGAAGAAATCTCTCACTTCTTACTTTGGTTTTGTAGGAATGTGTAATGGTTGTGGTCTATCCTTCTAAATCAAACTTACTATTTCTCTTCTTGTCAATGGAGTTACATTATTGCTGTTGGCAATGCATGAAAATTGTCTTCATATATGAAATGTGAAAACTCCTGCTACACATTACACAACGTTGGGACATTCAAATTAAAATATTATCGTTATGTTTGGCTCAGTTTTCCAGATTTACACCTAAATAACGAATTATACTTGTAAATCTCAACTTTTTGATATTCTATAATACTCTCATCCCACTTTAAATGCATACCTTTTTGTACATTTCCTTTAAACACATAATTAATAAAACTTTATTTTTCAACAAACCAACACAATTTTTTAATTGTTTGTTTGGAAATTCAGAAGGAAAGAAATATTAACAATGAATTATAGGATTTTATTTGGAGACATGGGGCTAAGGAGTAGGGAATCTTGATTGTCCATACCAGTTAACAAAAATGTTTGGGAAACTGATAAGAATTAGTTATCTATAAATAAAGGCAGTTATTAGGAAAATTATTCACAATTTCAATATTGTATCTTTAGGCCACAAAGGCACACTGCTTGAAATATATTGTAATATAGCAAGACAAAACAATATTAGTATCCCCGAACACAAGTCTGTGTCCATTGATTTTCTCCTTTATCTACGTGATAATTGAGAAAAGGAAACTGTTATATTATCGGAAAGGAGGTAATCTGAAAAATTTCAAATCAATTAAACTTTGGACGAAAGTGATTCTAAATAAACCAGTGTTCAATCATAAAATTGCAACCAAATACATTAGTAAAATAATTTTAATATTATCAGTTCATCTTCTTAATCAAATGAACTTTGAATCTATGATCAGAATAAACTTTCGGCTGATTTCACAACTTAAGGGTCTATGAAGATATGCTTGTCGAAAGGAAATTTTTGTACATTGGTGAAAGTTATGGTTTAAAGAAAATAGGAATAGCAGAGAGAAAATTGAAAGGTAGGTATTTGGGCGAAAGAAGCTCAAACCAAATGTACATGGTAGTAAAAATTGAGAATAACCAGGTTTGAAACGCGACGAGAGACGTTGAACCCGCTGGCCACCACACCTGACCAGCACCATGCCAGCATCTGACTCACCGTCTTCATGGTCTTCGTGAATCAATCGCAGATAGATCGGGAGCTACTGCCGGAGATCAGAGTTCAGGTTCCAGCCGAGTAATGAGAATATTTTATAGGGTTGCTGATCGGGACCAGTCGGGTTAGAAACTTGCAAGAATTCATAACATTCTCTCAAAATACTCTCTCAACCAAAACCCACCGATTTTAACCAGAACAATACATGATAGCCAACTCGATAGCCACAGTATCTTAACAAGCGTGAAGATTACATAGGTTTTACATATTCAGATACATTCTGTAAATATTCAAGAATACGCAAAAAACGGATTCGATGTTAGAACTCTTTTGGCTTTCTGGGTCCAAATCTAGCATCTATTCTGAAATATGGTGTTGGTTAATATCGTGGAACTTTTTCCATGGATACAGTAGCATATTGGCCTTGATCCCCCTCCCGTGTGCAATAAACAGTTGAAGGCAAAAGCTCGTAGCGGGCACTGATGACAACCTTCCAAGCATTAAAACTTTGTTGGCGCGAAACAGAAGCTAGTCAAAGCCAGTTGCTTTCATAGTGCAGAACTCCTGTTCAGATTTATTGTCAATATCGAAAGAAATGGCTGAGTCAAGTTCAGGTCCTTCAAGGGAGTCACCTAAAACTCCCGAAAAAGTTAAGCACAAGATGCAGTTTTGACTTCCATTTCACAAACGTTGGCATTACTTAAAATACTCTAGTGGCCGACTTTGTAACTATACCCCCACTCCACCAGAAATCCTCAATCCATCGTTCAAGAAAAGTTGCCCGAGTAATACTATTTCAGGAACTTGTGCAATATTTGGAAATCAACTATTACTATGATTCAAATAAACTCTTTGTTCAGTGGGTAGTCAATTGAACTGTCAACTAAAATTATCGATTGGGAGACGAACGAACTAGAATATATCCCAAGAAACTAAATGAATGATTATTGATCACCTACTAATTACATTATTGGACACTGAACGACAATATCGTACACATCGTTAACACATTTATTACACGTAGCACTATTCCCAAATCAATAAAATTCTCGTTTTCAAAGAAAGGTCATTCGAAACTTTACATGTAGGCTATTGCGTTTTTCTTGTATTCCAGTGGGTTTTATTGCACTAGTTTTTGTAATATCATTAGATTCATTACACATGACGCTGCCTTAATAACTACCAAATACAATTTATTCTTGTATATTCTCGAACCCCAAATTGACAGGCCATGGTGCTTTATGAGAGAAAATATTCAAATAAAAAGTAGAATACCAAGACATCGAAATGAGTAGTTTCTCAGAAGATTCCGTAGGGACGATTGAGACTTCCAGCGATACTATTGGAGTATTCTCCCCTTTAACAAAGAATGGTAATATTAATCTTTGTTAAAGGGAGAAATACTCTAATAGTAGCTAATTCATGAAACAAATAATACGCGTGAATCACTTGCACAATGTTTTCCCATATTGCAGTATGCTAGGTGTCTAGTACATTAGTCATCGAAACGCTTTTTGAGAAATGTGTCATAATCGGTAATAATTCGTTACATCCAAAATCCAAAGAAATAGTTCAAACTGCCATCCATTTCTCCTTCACCTATTCATGCTCTCATGACCTATTTCATACTTCACCTACTCAGTAAAATGACAATCACGACATACAGATACACTGTTTAGATGCTTTATCACAAAAACATTTGCCTTGAGACATACTGTATTTTTTGTTTGCATTGCCTGGAAAAACAAGCATTTAACCAAACACGAAATACTGATTGTTGATATTAATAAGACAACAGCAATGTAAAATTAAGGCACATTGACAATTTGTTTATATGAAGGTATGCTATATTTCATTTGACATAAGCCTAAAATTATAATTATATGCTTCTAAAATATTTTTCGTTCTTTGGACATACTCAAACCAGCTCAGAAAACATTTATCTTTGTTATTCGGTTGTTCGCAAACAATAGAAATAAGTATCGGGAGCGTTTCGCTCCAGAAACGACGATTGTGTATTGACCGTTATATTCCCAAATTTCTACTTTCAATTAAAAGCTGAGCAAAGGTGGTCGATCAGTACTACAGGTAACGATTGTTCTCGGAATACATTTATTATTTGTTCATTAGGATTGTTTTAAGAATTAGCATTGTATCACATTTACGTTGATTATATTCCTCAGGATTTATTAATATGTTCTTCGCAGAAAGTCATTGGAATGCAAATAGCTTTTACGTGGGACAGTGCATTCTGCAGCATTGTATTGAATATGCGCACGTTTTGTACAATTCTAATACAATTAAGTTCCAGCAATATTGATTTATAAAGAACAACAGATAGGTTAGTAGCTTATACAATACAAAAAAGACATCACAAGCGACCACTGATAAAAATAAATTTAATCTTCTTTGTTGCGAGAAAGCGGAAATGAAAAATTGTATTACTACTCGGTGTTGGCAAGAAAAAGCCTGCACCAGGGTTCCAGAAAGTTCGATCGTTCAGCCAATCAGAGACAACTGCGCAGTTTCTGTTCAGCCTTGCCATGTCATGCAAGATGTGGTTGCCAACGTAAAAGATTTTGTTGGGACGGAATTCTGTGTTGTTTCAGTCCATTCATTCCTTAAAGTTCGTTACGTTTAGTTGCCGATCTTGTGTGTGACGTTCGGTTACACAAGTTAACCAATAATAGTCAAGTGACGTGTTTCGAGACCAGCCAATCACAATCATCTGGTCTGATCTATAGAAACGAATAGCAGACAGCTTGCCGTAGCATTCGGTGCTTTTGCTTGGAACGGTGTGTTTCGTTGAACGGTCGTTGCTTGGAAAATTTTATTCTCGCCTTTTTTTTCTTCTTCTAAGAGAGAAGGTAAGTGATGGTTTTGTGGTGTTTGCTTGGTTTACCGTAGAATTATTCTAACAATGTTATGTTGTGGGAGTTACTGACTTTGGTGTACGTATGTAATGGAAAATTTCTTCACGGCTGTAATATTAAGTCCGCCTGTTGCGGACTTTCGTGGGATCTTAAAAATTCGGCTTTTGTAACTAGTATGTATAAGTTTAATCTAAAATACGCTTTTGTATATTGGGAGCAATTTGGCTCCATTTTACCTGTTTCAAGATGTAGGATTAATCGCCATCTTGAAGGCTTTTAACTGAAACCCAGGATTTCCGTTCAGTAAAAGTGAAATGAACTAATAAAATTGTGTAGGTCGAAAGATAGTCGATTGAGTTTTGAATGTGTGCATTATATTCGTTGGACAGTAGTTGTCCAATTTATTGTGATAATGAAATTCAGTACAGTAGCATTTGTTTAAATGGAATTTGATGCTGTTACTGACATTTTAGTGTGTTTAAAGTTCATAGATTGATTTTTCTTTCAGAATTATGCAGATTTTCGTGAAAACTTTGACTGGGAAAACCATCACTTTAGAGGTGGAAGCTTCAGATACTATTGAAAATGTGAAGGCAAAAATTCAAGATAAGGAAGGAATTCCTCCTGATCAACAGAGATTGATCTTTGCTGGAAAGCAATTGGAAGATGGTCGCACGTTATCAGATTACAATATACAAAAGGGTGAGTTCATTTGAACTTGGATGTGGGATGTTGAGTTCACAGATCAATCCCTTCATAAATAAACTCTTGCTTTTGATCATGCTAAGTATTATGACATGGTTTGAAATGCCTCAGGTTGGTTTGAAATATTAGTAAAAGATTGGTCCTGTATATATACACCAAATTTTTGTGCTTAAGTTTTTTTTGTCACCATCCGTTTTCCAGTTAGTAGCAATCTGAACTTCTCCAAATATGTAATATAACCTTATTGCCACGAACTTGGATTGAAATGAAGTGGATGTTGCTTCTTACCGGCAGTGTGCTTCTGCCACATTTGACATTTGAAGTCAGTTTTGCCTCAAAGTATCCATATCCTGTTCAGTGAAAGTATTAGGCTGGAATGTGATGGATTTATATTGCTTGCCAAATTGTGCAGAATGCATGAGGTGTTGTTGCCTGTACTGAAGCCAAACTATTAAGCTGATAGAATGTTAATAGAGGATATTTCAAACGCTCTGCCCTTTGGGGATGAGTATCAATGGACATTACTGTTTTGATGGAAGTATAACATGAAATTCTTTGGCAGATGTCAGTCCTGACATGTTCTCATGTGACGGAACTCTGGAACATTAGATTGTTCTCTTGGGATGTATACAAACATAATATATTAAAATGATTGACCTTTGTGGTGAACTTATATTTTGTTGTTGGGATCTGTTAAAAAATATTTAAACATATGGTCAAATTGTGCTTTCTGTCAGTGTAGTTATATTTTTTTCTGCTGATAAAGTTTTTGTTTTAATAACATCCCTTAGATTACCCTTGCTTTCACATTAACCTGCTTAAAACTTTCTAGCTTGCATAGGTGCGATTGTATTTCTAGTTTTTTATATAGTATTTCTAAAGTTTAATTATAGTAGCATTTTTAAGTTTCTCTACTTCTGAGCTTCAAATGGTTTCATGACGATGTTTTACAACCTTTCTGCTAATTCTCTATGCTGTAACAGTACTCTTCACATAGTAACTGACTGCAGGTTAGCACACTGTAGCAGATTGGGTTATATCACTGGTACATGAAGTTATGCCCATTAAGTAGATTATATTACAGTCAATTTAGAGCAATATTTCTTGAAGTTTCTTTTTTCAGTATTATAAGAATAAACATTTAAAGACTTGCTTCGGCATGAGAGAATTTTTAGTGAATTTTCTGGCAGTTGACCTGAAAACAAGGTAGAACACATTTATGCTTGTATTTTACAAAAGTAATGAATTTAATTTCAATTACATTGATATGACCGAAGGATTTTATTAGAGCAACGAATATTTTCTTTCCTTTGCCTTCACTGCCTGGCAAAACAATATATAAATGCAGTATTTTCAACAGTTGTTTTAGTGTTAATGCTTGTTAATTCTATGAACTTAATTTCTAAGGTGCGTAATCTATTCTCTTGTAAACTCAATGCTAATTAAAACCTGTGTTTATTTTGCAGAATCCACACTTCATCTTGTTTTGAGACTTCGAGGAGGTATGCAGATTTTTGTTAAGACTCTGACTGGCAAAACAATCACCTTGGAAGTTGAAGCTTCAGATACAATAGAAAATGTGAAGGCCAAAATCCAGGACAAAGAAGGCATTCCTCCAGACCAACAACGTCTCATCTTTGCTGGCAAACAATTGGAAGATGGTCGTACTTTGTCAGACTACAATATCCAAAAAGAATCAACCCTTCATTTGGTTCTGCGCCTTCGTGGTGGCATGCAGATCTTTGTGAAGACTTTGACAGGGAAAACCATTACCTTGGAAGTTGAAGCTTCAGACACCATTGAAAATGTTAAAGCGAAAATTCAAGACAAAGAGGGCATCCCACCTGATCAACAGCGTTTGATTTTTGCTGGTAAGCAGTTAGAAGATGGACGCACACTGTCAGACTACAATATTCAGAAGGAATCTACACTCCATTTGGTTCTCCGCTTAAGAGGTGGAATGCAAATTTTCGTGAAAACTCTGACAGGAAAAACAATCACTCTAGAGGTTGAAGCGTCTGACACTATAGAGAATGTGAAGGCAAAGATTCAGGACAAAGAAGGTATTCCCCCAGATCAACAGCGTCTTATCTTTGCTGGCAAACAATTGGAAGATGGTCGTACCTTATCAGACTACAATATCCAGAAAGAATCAACCCTTCATTTGGTTCTGCGCCTTCGTGGTGGCATGCAGATCTTTGTGAAGACTTTAACGGGGAAAACCATTACCTTGGAAGTTGAAGCTTCAGACACTATTGAAAATGTTAAGGCTAAGATCCAAGACAAAGAAGGAATTCCTCCTGACCAACAGCGTCTGATTTTTGCTGGTAAGCAGTTGGAAGATGGTCGCACTCTCTCAGACTACAATATCCAGAAAGAATCTACCCTTCATTTGGTACTGCGACTTCGAGGTGGTATGCAGATCTTCGTGAAAACTTTAACTGGAAAGACCATTACACTGGAAGTAGAAGCGTCGGTCACCATTGAAAACGTGAAAGCTAAGATCCAGGACAAAGAAGGAATTCCTCCAGATCAACAGCGACTAATCTTTGCTGGAAAGCAACTTGAAGATGGTCGCACGTTGTCAGACTACAATATTCAGAAAGAGTCTACTCTTCATTTGGTGTTAAGACTTCGTGGTGGTATGCAGATTTTTGTCAAAACTCTGACTGGTAAGACAATTACCCTGGAGGTTGAAGCATCTGATACAATTGAGAATGTGAAAGCTAAAATTCAAGACAAAGAAGGAATTCCCCCAGACCAACAGCGTCTCATCTTTGCTGGAAAGCAGCTGGAGGATGGTCGCACATTGTCAGATTACAATATCCAGAAAGAATCTACACTGCATTTGGTTTTGAGGTTGCGAGGTGGTATGCAAATTTTTGTGAAGACACTTACAGGCAAGACTATTACCTTGGAAGTTGAGGCATCAGATACCATTGAAAATGTGAAGGCTAAAATCCAGGACAAAGAAGGAATTCCTCCTGATCAGCAACGTCTCATTTTTGCTGGTAAGCAATTGGAGGATGGCCGGACTCTCTCTGACTACAATATCCAAAAAGAATCTACACTTCATTTGGTACTCAGACTGAGAGGTGGAATGCAAATTTTTGTGAAAACTTTAACTGGAAAAACAATCACTCTTGAGGTTGAAGCATCTGACACCATTGAAAATGTGAAAGCTAAGATCCAGGACAAAGAAGGCATCCCACCAGATCAACAGAGACTCATCTTTGCTGGTAAACAGTTGGAAGATGGTCGCACTCTGTCAGACTATAACATTCAGAAGGAATCTACTCTTCATTTAGTGCTAAGGTTGCGTGGTGGTATGCAAATCTTCGTAAAAACATTGACTGGAAAAACCATTACGTTGGAAGTTGAAGCTTCAGACACGATTGAAAATGTTAAGGCTAAAATCCAGGACAAGGAAGGTATCCCTCCTGATCAGCAGCGCCTGATATTTGCTGGCAAGCAGCTAGAAGATGGTCGCACCTTGTCTGATTATAATATCCAGAAAGAATCTACCCTTCATTTAGTACTAAGACTTCGTGGAGGAATGCAGATCTTTGTGAAGACTCTTACTGGAAAGACAATTACCTTGGAGGTTGAAGCTTCAGACACCATTGAAAATGTTAAAGCTAAAATTCAGGACAAAGAAGGCATTCCTCCAGATCAACAGCGTTTGATTTTTGCTGGTAAACAGTTGGAAGATGGACGTACCTTGTCAGACTATAACATTCAGAAAGAATCAACACTTCATCTTGTTTTGCGTCTACGTGGTGGATGTTTGTGATGAAACTTTTGTAGTGAAGAATTGAATATATTGCAAACGTGTTAATGCATTTTTTTTTTAAAGTGTATGTATGTTGTATTGTGTAATAAACAATTTTCCTTGTTCTGGTCTATAGGGACTTTCACTACCCCTAATGCATGAACCATTTTGCAATATTTAATTGTTAATTTATCTAAGTCTAGGCAGGATAAATTGTTTTATTTCAATTTTAATTAAGATTTTAATTTAAATTTTCTTTTTGAGTGTTTAACAAAATTTGGATTTTCACAGCTGGTTTCATGGGAATAAATTCAAATAATCCTTTTTAATAGTTGCGATTAGAGGAGTTTATATTAATTCTGGAAGTTTTTTCCAGTATATACCATCAAAGTTAAACATTGTTTAAAATTTGTATGAATTTAAATTATTTTTTCTTCTTTTAAGATATATTTTTCACTTCACAATGTTTCTATGCTGGCAATAAATGCAATAAGTTTCTCTGCAAGAGTTAAATGCTTTTTTCCCGTGGTAGTTATTTGCACAGGAGAATGTGCCAAGTCTAGAGGTTATCTTCTGGGCATACTTGGGAGCTATTAAAAAAGTTAGACTGCTATGAATGACAGAAGTTATAGCTGAGTACGATTTAAGAGAGTGAACTGATAATATTGAAGGGTGCTTGGCTGTGGAATGTGAAATAAAACCTCATCTTGAAAGTGGTAGTGGTGAAGGATTTACTAACATTAAAGTAATGTTATTTTCGCAAGGCAGGAAAGTTTGAACTCTTGAGCCAATTAGGCTATTGATGATAAATAACGAGTTTATTTGAAGTTGGCTAATTCCAAAATTAAATGTGTTATACAATTGTGAAACAGTGGTAATCTAGGTGCTAGGCCTTTCAAAGTTTTCGTGAGTATGTATGATGCCAAATAATGTATTCAAACCTTTTGGATTTCATTGGATCTGAGCATTTGTCAGGCCATAGAGAACTCAACATTTCTAGAGACTGGGCTCCTATGGACTGTTAGGCAAAATAAGATATCTGCTGAAGGTAGCCACAGCATCAGCATTGGAACGTTACTATGTGGGCAACATTCTGAAGATGCATCCGTTCTTGAGAAGATTTAGAGTCACACTTTTCTCAACAACATAACTTTATCAGAAGTTAGGAATTTAGTCAATAAACTTTCCCCATTTGTGTGCATATGATTTAACTTGTATTATTGTTTGTACAGAAACTTGGTTGAAACCAGATATTTTTGCTGGTGAATTTATTGTGATAAATATATTAAGTCAAGTATAATGTGTCGTCGCTGGTGCTGTAATCGGTTTTAAATAAGTTTCATAAGTTAAATTGTTTTTGTGCCCAGCTTTGTTCAATTTTTTTTCTTTCAGTATGAAGCATTGGACTTGCCAACGTATCGTAGTAGCTGATAATGTTACGCTCCCGTACAAAAGTTCCCAACACCCAATGGCATTGTGTGTTACCTCCATATCGCATATGAACTGGTCTTATTGCAATTTCAAATTTATAATTGCCTTAATAAATACCTGCAGGTTGTGATGCTAATAGTTGAATTTTAGTACAGCTACATTTTTTTGCTAATATGTACATAGCACAAATGCTAAATGCAGATGATTCCCAATTACTCACGAAAATTCTGTTGCAACATCTTTCACAGATATATTGACTAATCTCCGGATTTCGTTATTAATAACTCTTCCATATTTTTCTCTCCTAATGTTTGAAGAGATTGAAACTTCACAAACGTATTTGTGTTCACCTCTACACCTGCAATTTTGTATGCGAATCTAGTGCTGCATGCAAATCTAACAATAAAGGGGACTGTTTTGTATATTTATGTGAATAAAGTGTTAAGTTAAATACACATAAGTTGTGGGTCACATTCATGTTTTTAAAAATCGTTATTTGCACACTTACGTAAGAACAAAAAGTGCAAATTTGAACATAAGTGTTCATTCTCTAGCATTACTCTCAGTAATGTAATATCTACATGATATTCCCCAAGTTTAATAAGTTCCAAGGTAATTCTGCGTGTAGGTTTTCGCAAATTAATTTTAAAAAATATGTCAATTCCAATCTAAATTCAAATCAATCTGCAGCACATATATTTTTTGTTATTTCATTGGGAATTCAGGACTGATCATAAATTGAAATATCAAGATGATATCATTGACTTGTTTACATATTTTGTTTTCATTGTATTTTCATACAAAATTGATTACAATAATGTTAAATATGTTAATATGCAAAAGCCCTTACTGCATGTACAATTTTTTTTAAACTGAACCTACTGAGTAATGAAAATATTTGTGATATTTAATGCAATATTTCACTTTTAATCTAATTGCAGTAGATAAAATGTAATTCATGGAAAGTCACCAATAGTGAAATTACTTAATTGCTTAATTAAATTAAATAGTTAAAATGCATACAAATTATTATTTATAGTTTGCCCTAGTTACATAAATACTACCAAAGCCACAGAAATCTTTATTTTTTTAGTGTTTCATTAGTTTGCAAAAATGTATTACCTAAAAATGTTTTCCTCAGAAAATTTTATAATAAAATATTGCACTGACTACTTATTACAGTATAGGATTAATGCTAGGATACACGTAATATTTTGCTCTGAGATTTTTGATGTTTCTAGATGAAAGTTCTGCTATAATATAAATGAAAATACACAAAAGTTATTGCCAAATGGAATTGTTTGCTGTAATACTTTCAATATCATTAAAAATTTGAAATTTCATCAGTTCATTGTTCAGCTCTGTATCATCTTCAAATCCAGTTTTGCCATCTGCAACCTCCTTTAACTGCTTCGTTAATGACATCTCATGGTTAACACCCTTGCTGGGAGTAGAATACAGCCGAGTAACTTCAGAATCATCTCTTTTACGTTTACGATTGTTTTCACTTGTCGAAGAGGAGTATGACAGCCAGCAATCAGATTCTCCACAAGAAGCCAATAAGTCATCCACAGCCTGATCTGTTTCTAAATCCTCCCCTATATTTATTTTTTGCTGAGCCACTTTCTCTGAATTAATTATACTCTCGGCAGAGAGTCCTTTCATGCCATCTAGTTGAGGATTTATCATGAGATTCCCTGCTTGCAGTCCAAATCTCCCTAAAACCTAAAAATTAAAGAATATTTCATTATACCTTGGCAACAAATACTTAAAAGCTCTTTGTAAATAATCGTACACATACGTTTAAGAATTCGCACACTTTTTACTTGACACTTCACTGTACTTCTCGGCACTGAGCGTTCACAAGCTAGGAATCTGATTGTGCCTTATGATTCAGACAAATTAGGCTCAAAAAACTGAAACTTGTCTTGACGTTTAATAAAAAGGGTGAAACGTTGGGACTGGTTTGACATATTCGAATATCAGACTTGCGTTAAAAATATTATATCATGAAAAATTTGGTTTTGCAAATATTCCGCTTCCAATGCATTTTATGTTGAAAAAGCTTGATTCAAGATTTCAGGGAATAAATTTGTACGAAACCAAACGTGAGAGACATCACTCGAATAATGCAAACGATGTACTCGTATCCGAAAATTACGAGAAAACTACTCATATATCGAAAAAAAGCTTCATGACAGAAACTGAAGAATTTAGAGGAGCAAATTTCATTAAGAAACTAGTTCTGCTACAACCGCACTTTATCTTCTCATAAGTAATGGTTTCCTAAACTTATATACCGCAATTTCTGTCAGTGGCTTAACTACCGCTGGCCCGGCAGGAGCCCCCAAAATCAATTCTTTTTGGTTAAGCTGAACGCACTTTAAATGTCCCTTCTGGAAACGATTTGTTTATTACTATAAATCGACTAGTGTAAAGTTTGAATTACGGGTTTTATTATCAGGACACGAAGATGTTTTCCAAATTTGTAATTTGACAACCCAGAGCCATTGTTTTTTACTGATTCGTTTAAAGTTGGACAGACCTACAACTCTAGCGTCTGTGTCCTACTAGGTGGTCCAGCAGAAATGATTTGGCGATTCGGATCGTTTATGCTTATGTTTTGCTTTATCAAAAATAATTTTAACAAGCAAAAGTACATCTCGAAGAGCTGATGAGTGTAACTGGCAAAAAGAAATAGAGACGTTCAATTTTGTATTTCAAGTTGTATTACATTCAGACATTTTGATCGCGACTAATGCTACGTCTCGAAATCTGCAAAAATATTGTTATGATCATCAGCCTTAGCGAAATCGGTTATCCGGGACGGCTTTTTATAACTGAGGCAGCTTTTTAAAATTTGGGAACAGATATATTAATGTTACAATTTTTGAAATTACTACTGATTGTAATGCGGTTTGAAGCCATAACAGTTAACTTCGTTAGTTTTACACAAATCGTTTCTGAAATTTTTTTGTTCCTCTTGTCGCCGTTGTCTGTTTGTCCCCATTGTCCCATTTTGTTCCTTTGTCTTCCTTTCCACTCTTGTTCCATTTTGTCCTTTTGTGTCCCTTTCCTACATTGTCCTCAATGTTCCATTTTGTTAATTTGTCCCATTTTGACATTTTGGCTTTTATCCCCATTTGCCCTCTGGCCCCAGTGTCCTATTTTGTGCGCTTGTCTCATTTTATTACTTTGTTCCATTTGCTTATTGTTCCCATTGTCTCATTGGTCTCTTTTGCTCTCTTGTCCCATTTTGACCTTTCTCACCATTGTCCCATTTGTCTCCATCGTCTTATATATCCTCTTGACCCTTTACTCCATTTCTTCGCATTGCCCTATTTTGTCGTTTCCCCGCTTTTATTCCACCTGTCCCCATTTTGTCCTCATTTGCCATTTTGGGCCTTCCGCGACCTGCCATTGTTATTTACAAACGGTATCTAGTCCCTCTACCAACAACCCCTGCTGTGTACTAATTTCCCAAAGGCGTAGATTTTTTGACACATCTAAAAATTTGTGGAGTGCAACTCTGACACCCACAGGCCGCTATAATTGCGTTTCCTTATTCTTCATAACACCAACTTCTCAAAACGTTTTCGCTTTGAATTTATCATATGTTGTTTTTCGTGCTGGCTCTCGGCCTCGTTAAAAGCGAACCTAGGCGACGTTACAGATAAGTTGGTCAAAGCGAAAGTCCGCAGGGCTCAATTCTGGATTGATTATGATTAATACAATTTCTATCAATTAGATTTTAGCACACGTTTTTTAGTTGATCAAAAAAGTTTGAGAGGGGCTCCAATTTTAGTTTTTGAACCGAGTCCCGAAACAGGCTAGTTACGCCAATGATTTCTGATCATCTTAGCCATCAATTGTAAAACTCATTACCAATCGCAGTGTCGTCTTCCTACAACTACAAAATTAAAGATAAATATGTTTCCTTGAAATGAAATTTGTTTCTCATAAATCAGTTGTTTCAGTAAGGTCATGTACATTTAAAAAAATAGTTTTCGCGCAATATTGCGTGCAATTTAAAAAAATAACAAACTATATCTCCAAAATTACTCTAAATTTTTTCTTTAAATTTTTCGTAGGGATAGTGCTAGATGTACTCTATAAGATGACATTAACACATTGGTAGTAACACATTGCTCTATCCTTTTGTTCTTTTAAAAAATACAAACAAAAAAAATAAAAATTGACTTGTCTCTCGGGGCGATAATATTTGCATCACCGGCATTCACATTTTTGCATTTACGAGTAAATGTGCTTTAAATGTCGTATATAATTTTTTTTCTAAAACTCAAAAGTTTTCGAAGTGAAAACGAACTCAAAATTCCCCATTTTCAGAAATGGTCAAACGCCATTCTCTTTAAAACGGCTTCAATTTTTTTCTAAACTTTTCGTATGGATAGTGCTAATTGCACTATTAAGATGACAAATTTATTTTTGCTGTATTTTTTGTTTTTTCAAAAATTAAACAAATGTAATTTTTTGAAATATTTCTCACACCATTTATATGCAAATTTCTAACAATTTATATACATTATTGTACTTGTGAGTGGAAAAGGTTCGAATGACTTTCAATGAAGTTTTTTGGAAATTCAAAAGATTTCTGTGCAAGAGATTTTCAATTTTCACATTTACAGTAATGCTTGAACTCCATTTTCTTTCTAAAACGTTTTCAACAAAAATGTCCATAAAGGGCACTAGTTTTCTTAAATTCTTAAAGTAATATTTCGGTTCTACCATTAGTCAACCGAAATATTCAGAAAATTTCAAAATACTATACTTTGGGCGGCGCTACGAGATGGCAGCTGGCTCTGGCTAAGCTAAAGGTGGCTCGGACTAAAGAAATAATAAAACTATTTCGAGAAAGTCTATGCCTTTCTGTAGCACCAATAGTTTGAAAATAGCGCAATAGTGCAATTTTTTGGGTGTCTTCTTACAACTATAGTATTAAAGATATATTTTTTTCCTTAATGAAATCTATTCCAGACGGATCTATTTGAAAATATGAGTTTTCATGAAATTTTGTACAAAATATAGTCAATTTTTGTTCTCAAAAACCACTCTATTTTTTTTCTTTAAATTTTCTCCTCATATGTAAGTGAAGTTAAAATAAATAGCGCTAGTCCCACTTTCAGCTATTGTTCTGTTTTTTTTAATTGCATAAAGTGAGGTGTTTAAATGATGTATACAGGCTCAGCGCTTCAGATCAAAACGTCGCGAGTTCGAAACACGCGCGGGATTTTAATTTAATGAACGTGTTACTGCAGAAAACTATTGAAGATTCGAGAAACTTTATTGAAAATCATTTGAAGCACTTCTAGTCACAAATACAATCAACGCAGATAAATAATCCGGAAGTGTCTGTATGTGATTTTCGAATTTGCAACTTTTAAACAATATTTCAAGTCTTATTCGATTTATAAAACGTATGTCACGTCAAATTAATTGTTGTCTGTCTATCCATCTGTACGAACCGATTTAACTGAATACTACTTAATCTAACAAAATGAAATTTAAATATATTAGAGATACTACCCATGGGACCAACTTCGTTTTTCCTTTACGGTGATATTCTTAACAGTTCCAAATATTATTACTTTGTTATCACACGGCGCTACTGTGACGTACTGGTATGGGTGTCGACAAGTTAACTCCTTTACAACACCTTGCGGATGACATTAAATTATTAAATTCGATACAAAAGTTTAAGTCCCAAGTAAAATCTTTTCTGCTGCGCAAATGTTTCTATACAATTAGAGACTATACCGAGCATCCAAAAGGAAAGTAATATTAATTTTAACAATGACATTTAATTTATTATATATCATTTGGATTGTATAATTGTGAAGAACCTGTAACAAGTATTGTACTTCAGCTTCTGGGTCAATGACCCTCATCTCGATCAGGTTTTCGTCCAGTTTCCCTGATCCTCGAGCAAATGCTGAGATGGCTCCTTGTTTAGCTTCTGGGCATAAATGTAACTTCAAATTAACTTCTCCCCACAGCACGTCACACACAGTTTTTAACTGTTTTTGACGTAAATAAATAAAATAAACTCTGAGGATCTGAGTTCGGGTCTGGGAGTGGAAATAAATTGTTGCTGGTTAAAATTTTATTTATTAGCATTATATATCGGAGCAGGAAGAAATAATGCTAAAAGTATGTGATTTTGTGACACCACTAGTTTTTACTAAAAATACCACTTTTTGTTGCAACACTTCACTACTTTTGGTACACTAGGTATCTTATAGAAGAGAAAGCAAAAGTAACTTATTTCTTAGCCCATATTCCATTTTGCGAATTTCTACAATACCTTGTTTAGTGGAGCACAATTGTTTTGATAACCTGCAAATACCTGTGACATGTAGAAGTGCTTCTCATTTTCTGGGAGAGTATCCCAGGCGGTGGTGACTGTAGCCTTGAGTTTTGTTTTCGATGTATCGGGATATAACCAATGATATAAAGTTCTAGTGCGTTTACTGAAGAGCGACTTCGCAGCTTTAACTACTTCTTCTTGGACTCCAGGACCCTGAAAATAATTTTTGAAAATGACAATATGATAACAGCTAGCAGTGGTCTAATTGAACTGGTATTAAGAGTCCGGAAGTAAAATTGTGATAGAAAGTATGTACAGAAGATAGTAAAATCTTAGTAGACCGCTATTTAGTAAAGCAAAATCTATTAGGCATTTCTTCAGTAATGTCTTGTTAGCATGTAGTTACGTCCTTCGCACAGGATAAATCTATAATATAAAAATGAATCGCAAAATGTGTTGGTAAGCGCATAACTCAATAACGCTTGGACCAATTTGGGTAATTCTTTTTTTAAAATGTTTGTTAAAGTTTCATAGATGTGTTCTTAGGCTCAGATAAAATTCGAGACTAAATTGCCGAAAAAAACTAGAAAAAAGCCTGTTTTGCTTGTTTTCCATGCAAATGTTATTCTAACGTCTAGAGTAGTTCAAGTTTGACTTATAGTCTGTCTATAAATCGATCGATTCGTTTGGTGTAGGTAGTGTTTTGGGATCCGAACGTGCAGAAGAGAGTCAATTTGACGGTAGAGTTCGCCCACTCTCCGGGGTTTAGAGCCGGGCGGAGACTCCGAGTTTTTGAGCGTCATCTGACCGGTCCATCCGATTTTGAAAAATTAAGTCTTCGGTTTATTTTGGTTGTCGAATTTCAATATCATTTTCTAAGTTGTTTTTACAAAAATAAATAGATTTTTCTAACTTTATAAACTTAAAGAAGTTCGTATTTCATCAGAAAATTTTCTTACCTTCCTTCTTTGCGATTAGAAAGTAGATAAATATTCATAGGATGCAAAACATGATAATATGATCTTTCGGATTCTCTTGTTACGCCTTGCCTTGCTGCTCTTCTTTACGTCATATCTACGGACAATACAGCATCGAGTCATTATTCAAAAATATCGCATCGCGCAACAGTTTCTTAATTAATAATCCTACCCTGATATGAAGTTGCTATTCGATTTGCTTCAGATTTGAACTTGAGATCATAGAATTCGGTTATTCAGTATCGACATTTCTGTATTCAGAAGAGGTACTCTATGTTATGTATCTTAGTATTTTTGTTATAGCAAACAATTGAAATAAAATCCGTAAAAACGTGAAGTTTAGTTAATACAGTAAGTTTACGAGTACAAATCTTGTGGTTTATCAGATTTTCTATTATAACTTCTTAATAAATAATAATGATAATTCTTTGTTTAATGAAAATAACTGAAGTTAATAACTAGTAATTTTATTGAGCGAATTAACGACACATTTTCCATATAATTCCAAAAGTTGTGTATTCTGTTGGAATATAAGTAATTGGAATATTGGATACTTAGATATGAAAGGTATTGTAAAGATCAGCGTTACATAATAGATAAGTTACTGGTATAAGAATGTATTATATGGACAATTATGTCTGTTTTCATTTTATTTTTGTTTATATTTTTGAATCTTGATACTATTAAAAGAATGAAAGTAAGTAAGTATTATTATAATTTAAACAGACTTCTCACTCACATACACACTTTATTAGCAACTAAATATTTAATTATCCCCCCCCGCCTTTTAAAGGTCGCCTATCGGTCATTCCCGTTTCGTTCTGGAGATTGGTCAAGCGTGCAAATCCCTACATTGTGCGAGCTTTAGTTACTCGTTATAAAAAGTCAAATTCTATGCTCTATTTATCTATCAACTACAGTTGCTCGGTGTGGAGCACAGAACATATGGTGACATTATTGTCGCGTATAATCGAAACTATGAGTTATAA